GGACCCAGCAAGTTTTCCCATGCTCGCAGGGAGCCGTGAGACACCCACGAACGCCCCGGCTCTGCTCCTTCTGTTTCCCGTTAAGTTTATTTATTGGTAATTTTTAAGACCACTTACAGACTCTGTTCACGTGCCAGGACCCTACGCGGCTTTTTCCCAGGGCCTTTTTTATTATTATTATTTAAAAAAAAAAAAAAAATCTTTTTAATCATTTTCTTCCCACTCCTTCCTTCCAGATTCCTTTGGTAGCTAGCAGGGGACTTGCACATGGTGCAGCCCTTGCCTCCTGCCACAGCCCTGTCCTCCCTGCCCACTGCTCCCTGCCCAGGGCTGCACCCTTGCCCCTGCAAGCAGGGCTGAGTGGCCCCATACGGGGACAAGGTCCCCCCCCAGGTGTGGCCAGGAGCTGCCAGCCAGCTTGGGATGTTCCCAAAAAGGGGATCTGGGGGCTGCCTTGGGGAGCAGGAGTCAGCTCTTCCCAGGATGCCTGGGAGCTGACATAGTCTTTGGCAGTGCACAGCCAGTGAGCTAACATGCCTGCATTCATCAACCCGTGCCTGCTTGCCTTGTTTAAGGAGCAGAATCCAACCCCACACTGGACTGGGAGGCAAAAAGCAGCTTTGAGTTTTTAAGCAAGGCCTTAGTGGCCTTGATGGTAGAGCTGGGGCTGGTGTTGGGGCTGCATCCCTGCCCTGCAGGGCACCCTCGCTGGAAACGTTATCTCTTTTGGAAACGAGGAGAGCAAAGGACCTGCTGCTCAGGTGGGAGCGAGAGGTAGAGATGCCCCAGTCCCTGCCAGCTTCTCTCACCCCTGTTTCACTGGCTGTCGTCCCTGCCCATGCTTTGTCGGCCAGTCAGTGCAGACCACCCCTGCAGCTGGTACCACTGCCCACACCACTGCCTGCCCAGCCCTTCCAACCACCCAAATCTGGGAAAAATCAGCGGAAATGGGGAGACTCTTCACCCCCCCAGCCTGCTCTCTTCCACAGCCACAGTCCAACCGGCTGCTGGGCCCCCTCAGTGCCCCTGCTCCTGCTTTGATCTCCCTGGAAGCTGGGATGGTATCACCGCCAGGGGCCGGGGGCCGCCCCGGGTGTCAGACAGGTTCAGCCACACATTTTTGGCTAATGAGAAATTTCCTCTCCCGGGTTTTTTTTTAGCTCCAGTATCGCTACCCCACCTCTGCCTGCACCAGAGAGGGCTGAGTCACGGGGGCGTGCAGGCCACCTCCCGGCACACTTGCTTCACCCACCACCGCCAGCCTGCTACTTGCCAGGCCCTGGCAGCAACCCCTCC